AATCTTATAAACCTGTGGGCATTTTTATACATTTTATGCATATACTTTTTTATGCCAAGTTGTGCCAAGCTCTAAAATATTTGATCAGAAACTGTGAAAAATGATTAAAAAAATTCTTATGGAGTAAATCAGTAACAACTGGAAAAGTCATGGGGCCTTTGAATGTTGTCGTGGACAATGTGGGGCCTTGGGGTGAAAAAAAGATCCATTGATTTAAGTAAACTATTAATCGTTTAAAAATAGGGTAATTTTCATCAACAATATTATATTTGGTCAAACATACACTAATAAAAATGTTTAGTATTCAGACCAATTTGTGCATCAGTTTGAGTGATTCTTGAACACAACTGACCTGAATGCTTCATTCTAACATCACTCTTATTTGTGAGCAAGTCCTGCTCTACAAAAGAGCAATATGTTAGCCAATAAATATTTTATGGTAGAACGTAACTTGAAGAACTTATTTAATTAAGTTTATATGTACACCAAATCAAATTTATATGTACACCACTTTTCACAATACACATTGTTTTAAAGCAGCTTCACAGAAAATTTTGATAAAATTAATGTTCAGGTTAGGACGGTCAAGACAGGGCAAAGTTTATTTAATAGCACATTTCATACAATTCAAAGTGCTGTACATGAAAATAATTTCCCTGACATTTTCAGGTCATGCACAAAGTAAATAAATCAGTTATGTGGAGTCCTGATGTCTATGACAATACAGTGTGTGAAATAAATCAATCAATCCATGTCTGTGCTTGTGACGAGATGTGTTTGTGAGTTCTGATCCATTTATATTCCTTTCCCTTTCTGCTCTAGATATCAGATCCATACCGGTCTCCAGCACTCGATAATCCGCTCTCGGCAGCCCAGCTGTTTGCCCTTTGACCTCCGGACGTTGCCGCAGCGGCTGCAGGAGGCGGGATACGCCACTCACATGGTGGGCAAAAATGGCACCTGGGCTTCTACAAGCACATTTGCCTGCCGACCCGCCACGGATTCCACACGTACTTCGGCTCCCTGACAGGCAGTGTGGATTATTACACCTACAAGTCGTGCGACGGGCCGGGAATTTGCATGTACGACCTCCACGAGGGTGAGCGTGTGGCATGGGGTCAGGGAGGGCGTTATTCCACACATTTGTACGCACAAAGAGTCCGAAAAATCCTTGCTGCTCACGATCCTTCATCCCAGCCTCTTTTCATTTTCCTCTTTCCAAGCCGTGCACACGCCATTGCAGTCACCAAGGGAATACGTCTATCCGTATCGACAAATTGGAAATGTGTTTCGTCAGAAATACGCCGGGATGGTTTCGGCCGTAGATCAGGCGGTAAGGAACGTGACGTACGCACTCCGAAAGTATGGCTACTATAAGAACAGTGTCATTATCTTTTCTACAGATAACGGTGGACAGCCGCTCTTTGGTGGGAGCAATTGGCCTTTACGGGGAAGAAAGGGAACGTATTGGGAAGGAGGCGTCCGTGGCATTGGATTCGTCCATAGTCCGTTGTTGAGACGCAGGAAGAGAGTTAGCCAAGCTCTGGTTCACATCACCGACTGGTACCCAACGCTAGTGGGACTCGCAGGAGGGAACGTTTCCCGGATGGACGGGCTTGACGGATATGACATGTGGGAAACCATTAGTAATGGGAAAGAGTCTCCATGTTTGGAGATCCTTCATAATATCGATCCTCTCTACAACCCTGCCTGGCACAGATCTTTAAAAAATAGATATGGGATCTGGAATACGGCCATACAGGCAGCGGTTCGAGTTGGAGACTGGAAGCTCTTGAACGGAAATCCTGGATATGGAGAATGGATTCCGCCTCAGATGCTGGGAAACTTTCCGAAATCTTGGTGGAATTTGGAACGCCACACGGAAGCGAAGAAATCCTTGTGGCTCTTCAATGTGGCGGACGATCCGTATGAGCGTTACGATCTTGCAGAGCGCCGGCCAGATGTGGTCAAGCAGCTGCTGGCCCGGTTAGCGTTCTACAACCGGACTGCCGTTCCGGTGCGCTACCCTTTGGAGGATCCTAGAGCCGATCCAAGACGCAACGGAGGGGCTTGGGGTCCTTGGGAAGGAGATGATGAAAACTGGGAGGCGTTTTATCTTAGAAAGAGAAAAGTCAAGAAGCAAAAGCGCAAGTTCTGTAAAATGAAGTCATTTTTTAGAAGACTTAACATTCGAATGATGTCAAACAGGATTTGAACAAACACGTCCTACATGAACTGACGATTACAAATGCTGCTGACAGTAACACATTATCATTTTAGGGACTTTGATTATGAATTTGTCTTGTATGGAGCCACTAATTTGAATTTGAGTCCCATGATCACATTCACTGAAGCATGTGTTTCTGCTTACTTTTTTTGACCATCCACATAATTTCTTTGAGCAGATTTTGACCGCTGCGGTTTTCTGATAATGTGACCTTGAACCCCTGTGCAATGAATGTTGAAGGAATCAGTGAATGGATTTTGTATCCTCTTTGATCTGGTGTGCAGTGTTTGCACCTCATATTTATATAAAATACCTGCTAGGAGACTCAAATGATTAAGTTGTTTTGAGCATGTATGTGACTGTTTATGTTTGTTTGCTACCTGATTCTACCTATTCTGGATACAAAAACTCACAGTGTTAAAATAAAATTAACGTTTTCAAAAGACTCAGATTCTCTTGTTCTGAGATTATTGTAATTTCCAGTGGCCTGATTGCCCTCTAGTGGACACCTGAGATTTCTTTATTTAGACTACTAGTGGACAAATTAAAGTGTGTACATTTGCTAAGCTTGCTAAGCTATAGCTGATTTCCTGATTTTTTTACCTATAAAAAACACTGGTTAGAGGCCTTCTGGGACTGCACTATAGCTGCACACAGAGACAGTATAAAGGGCTGCTTGTTAAGTGCGTGTCTTTCAGAGAACTGGGCCTCTCAGAGGAGGGCGCCAGACTCCAAACTGAGAGACTTCTGATTCTTAACAGCTTCATTTTGAGATGCCTACTGTACTGGTTTGACTCCTGACCATATAGAAATTCTTTGAGATGTTTGTTAGTTGAGAGTTTATTCAAGCTGTAAAACTATTAATTAAGTCATTATGTACATTAACAATTTGCCAAAACTACTGTATATAAGTGGCACTCTGTTGTGCGGCAGGATTTTGAACAGCCTTTATTATTAGAATATTTTTCCCCATATCTATATCACAATATTCATTTACCATTACCATGTTTCTTAGACCTTGAGAATTAATGTTTAATTTGCCCCATGAAATCCCTGAAATGGTTCTTTGTGTTAGAGTTTAGAGTTCTGTAACTGTATCTGTAACTATCAAATGATTATTGATTTTGGAGCTCAACCAAACTATAGTCTGTCAACACACTCTCAACAGGTAAATTATTTAATTCTTAAAATGTCTATACATTTTTAATTTTCAAATTGTATCTGGTTTCCTACCAATTATGTCTTTTCTCTATTTTGCTTTTTATTTTGAACAGAACGCTCTAAAAAAAACTGTACACCTCCGTTCAGTTGAGGAAATTTCTCTCCTCTTCTTTATTAAGTAAGCGACAGACATATTGGATTTATGATTTAAACTGTTAGTTTTCATTTATTAGTATTACTTGGGTTTAAGCACAAACACGCCTAGTCTCTCTCATACACACACACAGACACACAGACACACAGACACACACACACACACACACACAGTCTGGTGGTCAGCTATCATTGTGGGGACTCTCCATAGGCGTAATGGTTTTTCTACTGTACAGACCGTATATTCTATTGCCCTACACCAACCCTACCCCTAAACCTACCCCTCACAGGAAACTTTCTGCATTTTTAGATTCTCAAAAAACTTAATTCTGTATGATTGATAAGCTTTTGTACTCATGGGGACCACAATTTAGGTCCTCACCGTGACACGAGTCCCCATGAGTCTGTGTGTATTCAGGTTTAAGTCCCCACCAGGATATATAAACCAGTACACACACACACACACAAATTAAAGCTATCCTATGACTTTTATACATCAAATTAAAAAAATAAACATTACTTTATCATAATATAATATTGCTTGTTAATGTTATTAATGGAATCTTTTACAGTATATTTGGGGCTCCTTGGTTGGCTAATTTTCCAATACTTTCATAACAGGTTTGTACTCATCCTGTTTTATCGGTTTGATCGGTCGTATCGCATTGCATTCACACGTGTCATTTGTTTTGTCTCAGTTAGCTGCTATAATCTATTTCATCTATAAAACTCAGTTTACGTAGTCTACTATTAAAATATAAGCTAGCATTACAATATAATAAGTTCTAACAGAGACCGTTTTTATAAATATGATATATTTAACATATTAAATCATCAAACAGCTCAATTATTACACGTCTTAGGTGAATTTATCGATCTCTTATGATATTGATATGATACATCACACCCGCGCGTGCTCCCGCTTGTGAAAGACAGTCTGTACAAAGGTGAACGAGTCCGAAATACGGGTTACTGCGAGTCAGACGAACCACCAATCACAGGCCTCCTAACAGTCTGTCCATTCGTAGGGCGCCTCTGATTGGTGGAGATTTTGGCGACCAAACACAACGGAGAGAGTAGTAAACGCTGGCCGTCAGAAGAGTTCGGTCTCATACAGGTCAGTAGTAAAGCCAGTTTAAAGGTCATTCGCAGTTCCTGATGGATTTGATTCCTTATTGAGTAATGAAATGCATTGTATAGTAGCATAATAGCAACTGTTTTATTGTTTTGCCACATCGCGACGTGTCATCGATGCGTATGGATGACAGCAGAAGAGCATGTGTGTGTATGGAACTGAAATATGACACTATGAACTCCTCTTTGTTCCAGTTTCGTCTTTAGCTGTTCTTGTTTGGATATGTATTTTCATAATTTAATAAATGCACCTTGTGTGAAGTGCCAACCTTTATTTGAAATCAGCGTGTGTTTTGTAAAGAGCCTCTGTGTTTAATAATTAAAGCTGCTCTTGGGTTGTGAATTAGAGTCAGAAAGTCATTTGTCATATGCGTATGACTACATTCTGAGACTGAAGTTCTTAATTTAAATTACTGACCTCTACATGCATTCATCATGTGGCTTAGCAAAACTACTGTTATAGAAGGTGGTTGTCATCCTAGAAATTGAGCATTACTCTGTCTTAAAGTATTGTGGTTGTTACTGAATGTTGTCTTGCAAGAGATCCATCGTGTCCCTTTTGACCTTGTTGTATGGAAACAGCCATGTTTCTGTTTATTGTTTTCATGCCCAGCATCCCTCCTACCTGGGGAAATCACCTGTGTGCATAAATGAAAGGTTTAGTATTAAACAACAGGTTTTCATGGGGGGAAACAATGCATGCAGTTTCATGCGATTTCAGATTTGCCATTATTGTGAAGCCGTAGTGTACAGTATGATTGTAGATCATCTCTTGCCCTCATTGTGGTTGTGTTGATGGGTGGTTGTATTTTGGTTTAAGACATTGTGATTCATATGTATTTTGGTATTCTTGCAGAGCTTGTTTGGTGTGGTCATTGTGTTGCTAATGAACAGGTATAGTGGAAACTAAGGGTTTGGAAACGGACGCCTGGTAAGCAGGACAAAAGGTCATGGGCGTCTGCTGTCTGAATGTGTGAATGGGTGCCTGTAGCTCACACCTGTTCATCTTTATTAATAATGTATACCGTTGATTGTTGTATTCATTCATGCATTTTATATGAAGGTCGCATATCTTTCAAGAATTTATAAGCGAGATGGCAGTGTATATTTTGTCAACACTCGTAAGTAGAGTAAAACTCAACCTTTGTCCCGGTCAGAGACATTGTGATAGATATCACAAGGTCAGACTGATACTGCCTGTCTGATTTAATCTGGTTTATTGCATTTATTATAGTCTCAAGCTGTAAATAAGATCTGGAGACCCATGATGCAACGTGATTGTCTAATGTTAAGATTATGCAATAGCTGCAGCACACAGCTAGGTGATGTTTTAGATACTTAAACTTCCCACTTCTCAGTTTGACTGGTTTTTAGTTATGTGTTCTTTATCATGGATAGAATGAAACTTGCTGATTTATTGGTCAATATTTATTGATGGTCATTGCTGAGGTAATTACAGCGCTTTCTGGCTCATTTCTGTTTGTTCAGTCTCTTTGGAACTTGTCATTAAGTGTTTGTCAGGTCATGTGATGCAATCTTGTCTGTCGTGTGAGTTTTGAAATGATGTAAACATTCCTTATGAATGACTGAACTAAACAAGATCTAGACAAGTGAATCTCAAGAACTTGTCTTGGTCATATTTCACCATAAAGCCTAAGAAATTGTGCTTTGCATAAAAATATAAGCCTATTTTAAGACCATTTTTTTGCACTACACTCTTAAAAATAAAGATGCTTCAAAAGGTTCTTCAATCGATGCCATAGAAGAACCATTTTTGGTTCCATTTTTGGTTCAAAGGTTCTTTAAAGAACCATCTCTTTCTTACCTTTTTATAATCCGAAGAACCTTCTTTCACCACAAAGAACCTTTTGTGAAACAGAAAGGTTCTTCAGATGTTAAAGGTTCTTTATGGAACCATTTAGACAAAAAGGTTCTTCTATGGCAGTGTTTCTCAACCCTGGTCCTGGGCGTCCCCCAGCACTGCACATTTTGTGTGTCTCCCTAATCAAACACACCTGATTCAACTCATTAGCTCATTAAAAGAAACTCCAGGACCTGAAATGGGTGTCAGATAAGGGAGACATACAACATGTGCAGTGTTGGGGGGCGCTCAGGACCAGGGTTGAGAAACGCTGTTCTATGGCATCGTGAAGCACGAGATATAAGATAATAAAAACAATATTTTTTAAGAGTGTATACCCTTATTTTCATAACAATTAAGCACATTATTTAATATTTAAAGTCTTTAAATATAGTATTGTATATATAGTATTATTTAGTAAGGATGCATTAAATTGATCAAAAGTGCATAAAGACATTTATAATGTTACAAAAGATTTCTATTTCAAAAAATGCTGTCCTTTTGAACTTTCTATTCATCAAAGATGAATCCTAAAATAAAATTCCACATAATTATTAATCAGCACAACTGTTTTCAACATTGATAATAATCAGAAATTCCAATTGATTTCTTGAGCAGTAAATCAGAATATTAGAATGATTTCTGAAGGATCACGTGACACTGAAGACTGGAGTAATGATGCTGAAAATTCAGCTTTGCATCACAGAAATAAATCACATTTTACAATATATTCACATAGAAAACAGTTGTTTTAAATTGTAATAATATTTCACAATATTACTGTTTTTACTGTATTTTTGATCAAATAAATGCTGCTGTGATGTTTTTTCAAAAACTCTTGACTTTTGAACAGAAGTGTATGAAATGGTAATATTTGCTCTACTGCTTTAAGGCCCGTTCACACCAAGAACGATAACTATAAAGATAACTATATTAGCGCCCACACCAGCGGACGATATCGTCTGTTTATTCCAAGCGCACACTGGTTTGCCGCTTAAAATTTTCGAGCTCGTAGCAGGATTAATTCTGATTGGCTGTCAATGTTTTTATTGTTCATCAGTTGGAAAAATTATTTCTGAAAGGGATTCCAATGATATTGTTTCTCTGTGCTTTTATCGTTATAGCTGTGGTGTGGATTCTGCTATTCTTTAAAATTGAGAATGATTTTGGGACCCAAAAGAGGTATAGTACGGTAGTGAGAATTTTGTTGGTAATGGCATGAAAGTAGAAATTTCTGCAAAATTGTTTGCTATATTTTTTTTTTTTTTTGAAGTGACTAAATTCACATTGCACTAAAGTTTACACTTCAAATCAGTGGAAAACTGTCTGGTTCTCGAGTCTCATGCGGATGTTATATGTCCGCTGGCCTCTCGTCATAAATCGCATGCCTTTAATATTTCTGGATCTGTTCCACTCATCCTCATGCCACTGTTTCCATTTGTTGTGCCACTGTTTTTAAATAGCAGCCCTGCTTTGGGAGGGGGTTGTGTCTGCGCCCATCGGGTGACCGGCTTGAGGGTCTGTCATTGGTCTCACTCACCACCCCCCCCACACACATGTCACAGGAAGAGTTTAAAGGACATTGCCGTGGTCACGTCACCTTTGCCCTGGAAAGTTTGTACACCAGTGGAATGAGACGAAGTGTTTATGTTTATCAGCTCCTTTTGACGGGTCGACACCAAACCCAGAGAGATAATGAGGATATCCTTGATAAATAAACAGAAGTGTGATATTGTAGGTAGTGATTGACCTATATATAAACTAGGCATAACATTTTGTTTAAATTTGGGGTCAAAGATTTGTAATGTGTTTTTTTTTTTTTTTTTTTTAAAGAAGTATAAAAGTGTAAGTGGAATTCTATCCAGTGGAGTAATTAACCTAAATATATAAAGTAGCCATAAAATTTTGTTTAAATTTGGGGTCAAAGATTTGTAATGTTTTTTTTTTTTGTTTTTTTTTAAAGAAGTCTTTTCTGCTCACCAAGGCTGCATTTATTTGATTAAAAATAGGCTACAGTAAAAACACTAATATTGTGAAATATTATTACAATTTCAAGTAACTGTTTTCTGTTTGAATATATTTTAAAATGTAATTTACTCCTGTGATGTAAAGCTGAATTTTCAGCATCATTACTCCAGTCTTTAGTGTCACATGATCCTTCAGAAATAATTCTAATATGTGACCCTGGACCACAAAATAAGCTATATAAATTGAGATAAGGATAAGGTCATAAGGATAAATTTTACGAAATTGAGATTTATACATCATCTAAAAGCTGAGTAAATAAGCTTTAAGCATTGATGTATGATTTGTAAGGATAGGACAATATTTGGTCAAGATACAACTATTTGAAAATCTGGAATCTGAGGGTGCAAAAAAATCAAAATATTGAGAAAATCGCCTTTAAAGTTGTCCAAATGAAGTTCTTAGCAATGCATATTACTTATCAAAAATTAAGTTTTGATATATTTACAGTAGGAAATTTACAAAATATCTTCACGGAACATGATCTTTACTTAATGTCCTAATGATTTTTGGCATAAAAGAAAAATCAATAATTTTGACCCATACAATGTATTTTTGGCAATTGCGCCCAGCTAACCAATCACAACGCACACTGGCCCAGCTAACCAATCACAACGGCACACTGGCCCAGCTAACCAATCACAACGCACACTGGCCCAGCTTAACCAATCACAACGCACACTGGCCCAGCTTAACCAATCACAGCTAACCAATCACAACGCACACTGGCCCAGCTAACCAATCACAACGCACACTGGCCCAGCTAACCAATCACAACGCACACTGGCCCAGCTAACCAATCACAGCACATTTCGTATTTCAGAAGGCGGGCCTTCATGTGATACAGGAACTATTTGAGCCGTTCATGCCAGACTGAGGAGAGAGGTGTTGTAATAAGTGAAGTGACTTGGTATGGTTGGTTACCCATACTAGGAATTAGGGCTCTGCATTTATCCCATCCAAAGTGAACACACACACTCGGAGCAGTGGGCAGCCATTTTTATGCTGCTTTGCCAATCACAGCACACACTGGCCCAGCTAACCAATCACAACACACACTGGCCCAGCTAACAATCACAGCACATTTCGTATTTCAGAAGGCGGGCCTTCATTTCATACAGGAACTATTCGAGCCGTTCATGCTAGACTGGGGAGAGAGGTGTTGTAATAAGTGAAGTGACGTGACATGTGGCCAAGTATGGTTACCCATACTAGGAATTAGTGCTCTGCATTTATCCCATCCAAAGTACACACACACAGCAGTGAACACACACACTCGGAGCAGTGGGCAGCCATTTTTTTGCTGCGGCGCCCAGGGAGCAGTTGGGGGTTTGGTGCTTTGCTCAAGGGCACCTCAGTCGTGGTATTGAAGGTGGGAGAGAGCGCTGTACATTCACTCCCCCCACCTACAATCCCTGCCGGCACGAAACTCGAACTTGCAACCTTTACGAGTTCGACTCTCTAACCATTAGGCCACAACTTCCCCACACAATAATAATGTAAAATATGTGAAAAATAATGTGGTTTTTGAACAACCTAGTATGAGCCTGTTCTAGTACACCCCCAAAACAAAATCTAGACTTTGTAAAAGAGCATAATAGGACCCCTTTAAGCTTTTAATTGGACCATAAACATGTTTTGGTTCAACAAACTGGGAACCGGTACCGTCAGCTCTGCTTATCAATGACATTTTTTTTTTGAAGTTCATTGGTATTCCATTACACATAGATATGGTAATATCAAAGTATTTTTCCCCCTGCACTAGGGTATAAGCGCAGTAGGGTCTAATATAACCCCTGTTGTCCTCCACAGATTGAGTTCGCTGTAGTCATGCAGGCACACGAGCTGTTGAAGCAGCTGCGAATCCCTGAGCTGTCTGAGGTGAGGGACTATTTCCGCAGTCTCTCCACAAACACCCTCCTCGGCATGGGCGCGTTCACAGCAGTCACGGCGTACTGGTTCGCCACCAGACCCAAAGCCCTCAAACCGCCCTGTGACCTGCGCATGCAGTCAGTAGAGCTGCCGGTAAGACTATACTACATTAAGATGAACTCAAAGTCTGTCTGGTTGCAGTCGGAGATTTGATATGAAACTTTGCATTTGGTTTTTGTTGATCAGGGTGGAGAATTTGCTCGTCGAGGAGTGGTTTTAAATGGAGGCCCACTCTTGAGCCATTTCTACGAGGATGCCAAGACCATTTACGAGTGCTTTCACAGGGGTCTGAGGGAGTCAAGTATGTACTTTTTGCTTTTATTTCAACCTTGAAGCAACAAGTAAATAATAAAGTTGGACATACTTGTGTATCTAACTTAATATAAAGATTTGTGTGATAATATAGTTATATTTTGCAATGAAATGCTATATCAACCTGTGGTAAAGTGGTCAGCATTAATATATCTCATGATGTTGAATATATAAAAATAACAAAACAAAAAAAAATCTAATTGGCCTATATGTGATATCTTTATATTTCTTTTCAGAAAACGGTCCCTGTCTGGGATCCAGAAAACCAAAGCAGCCGTATGAATGGCTTTCATACTCAGAGGGCTCAAATCTTTGCATAACCCCAGTGAATGCGGTCGATGCGTGTGTCTGTGTCTGGTGGGGTTTGTTTGTCTTGCTGTGACCCGGATCATGGATCAGCTGTGGTAACTGGGTGACCTGCATTACTGAACGCTTGCCCTCAGAGCACACTGACACTTCAGCTGCTATTTATAGAAAGTCCTTCAAACATACTAACTTATTTAAAAAAAAGTATTATGTTACTGTTATGGAACTGTATGAATATCATATTCATGTACCATAGTATTAACTTTAAATAATACCGTAGAGTACCATATCCAAAAAAAAGGAACTTTTGGAAATTTTTGTTAGCATTTCAGAAGTGGTTTTATGTAAATCATCATAATATAGCAATTACTCATGATTACATGGCAAAACATTTGACGTTGTTTAGATCTTTGTTGCTGTACATTTGTTATACTTACTTTTAATAGTTTTTCCTGGAACTTGCTTGCTTTACACCCAGGGTTCCCCAAACGGTTTTGGTCAGCTGAACTCTTTTGACGTAAATTCTCATGAGTATTTCAAATAAATATTTTCAAAAAAATAATATGAATATTAATCAGTTAATGTTTCAATAATTTAACAACATATTTGCATGTTCTCTGTTTTTTGATGACGGTTACTGGTCACATGACATGCAGGTAAACAAATAAAATATTTTTACAAATTTATTTAAAATTTAGTATTTTTTTAGTGTTTCATTTTGATTTGTTTTTATTTTATTTATACCAATATAAAATGTGTATGATTTAATGAGGTTGTTGTTTTTTGTGTTTATTTTTATATTATTTATATATTTTAATATACATTTTTATGATTTAAATTGCTTAAGTGTTTTTATTTTGATATTTTATTTAATATTACATTTTATGATTAAATACTTTTAGTAATTTTGTATTTTTTTTGTATTTCTTTTAATTTGTATTATTTTTTATTTAATTTTTTATTATTTTAACATTTTAAATTTTAAGTACATTTTAGTTTAATATTATGTTTATTTTAATATTACATTTTAATGATTTAATTAAATTTCTTAAGTGTTTTTATTTTGATATTTATTTAATATTACATTTTTATTATTACATTTTTAGTACATTTTTAGCTTAATATTATGTAGGGATGTAACGATTAACCGCGAGCCAGTTGAAAATCGATTCAAATATGTGACTCAAATCGAATTCAAATTCAAATCGGGTTGAGATGCTAAACAAATCGCGATTCAATTAGGGGTAGGAGTTTATATGAATGCATGTCTGAGGGGAACTTACTGTCTTTAGAAAAGTTTAGATGGTATTTTTTTCCTCTTGCCTCTGTATAATGCATATTAAAGGGGTCCTATTATGCTCTTTTACAAAGTCTTGATTTTTTTTGGGGCGTGTACTAGAACATGCTCTCATGCTTGGTGGTTCGAAAAACGCATTATTTTTCACATAATTTACATTATTAAAATACCTTTCTCCCCATCCTGGCACAAACGGCTCGATTAGTTCCGGCTTTGATGAAGGTCTGCCTTCCGAAAAACAAAATGTGTTGTGATTGGTTAGCTGTCCCAGTGCGTTGTGATTGGCGAACAGCTTAGACGGTGTTTCAGTGCTGCCCCGCCCCTTGCTCCGTCTTTCAACAAAAACTTTTTGGCGAATCTGGCACTGTACTCCCTCATGTTGAGGAAGCTGAACTCAGTAAAAGGCGCAGCACACAATAGCAAATTGGGGTTATAATGCTCAGGAACAGAGTTAAAAAATAAATTGCAACCACTGTTTCCTGACATCATCCGCTTTTCGGAAGCCCAAACAAAGACGTTTGAAAAAAAGGTGAAAAAAACAGCGTTTCAGGCGGTCGCGCACTGGACGAGAAGCGTCTTTAAAATTCAAATACTTTATTTTCTGTGAGTGTAGGCACACCGGCGGCGTCTGTCCGCGGCGCCCAGCTATGTGCTAAAATTAAAAAAGTGAAAAAGCATAATAGGACCCCTTTAAAGTTCATAAGTGCAGAGCTGCTTTGTTTACAGCGGAAACCTAGGAAACGCTTTAAGCGCCACCGGCTGGAGAGAGTGAATCTGCGTCTCATTCAGCTCGTCCGCTGTTTCATGCAGATATTTTTATGTATAGTTTCACAAAACTGAAGTCAAACCATTCTGTTTTTGCTTCAAATTTCGAAATTATACATTCTAATTTAGATTAAAAACTGCTCATGTTGCATGTATGCAGCATCTTTGTTTGGATCATGATTAAAATGCAGTGGTTGCCTCTAATTTTAAATGGAAAGAGCACAGACAAAGCCTTAGTTTGTTTATATAAAGAGATTTCTTTTATTTGTGTTACTTATTTATCTGATTTGGGGCTTGTTTTAAAATTTACATTTACATTATATTTAAATTTAGTCATTTAGCAGACGCTTTTATCCAAGGCGACTTACAAATGAGGACAATACAAGCAATCAAAACCAACAAAAGAGCAATAATATGCAAGTGCTATATTAGTATATTATTATAGTGTTATATTTCAGTTTGACAAAGAAATGTGCAGCATTTTGTCCAAGCAATAATAAAAGGACACATTTAATTTATATTTTGTCTTAAGTCTTCAAACTTCAAAAGATTCAAAATCGTGAATCGAATCGCGAGTCGAGTGAATCGTTACATCTCTAATATTACGTATTTATTTTATTATTTATTTTTTTACAATTGTTTTGACATTTTTATGATTACATTTGTAGTATTTTTTAATATAATGTATTTTAGTACTACATTTTCATGATTTAATTTGCTTAAGTGTTTTTAAATTATTATTATTATTATTGCTTTATTTATATATGAATTATTTGAATTTTCCATTTTTATTGTTTAATTAGCATTTCATCAGCTCGTGAACCTCCGTTTGGGAAATCCTACTTTACACGATTAACTTTCTGAGTTTGATGTGCTACTGGCTGTGCTATATTGGCTGTGCTTGTGTTTGATTGCTGTCATTCTGCAGTTCAGTCTTTACCGCAAACACAAACCTCATTCACGCCTGCAGTTGCTTCCATTTTCACTGAGCTTCCTCTGTCTCCATCATTTATTGAAATAAGTTTCCCTTCCTTTACAGAATATCGGCAAGGCTCATCGACAGCATCCTGTGGTTAGTACTGTTGTTCCTTTTTCAGTTTGCCAGTGTATGTGTCATATTTTATAACAATAAAAGGTTTGTTTCTGTAAAAAGTCTTTGCATTTATTTATATTCTTAATATTTATTTACTATATTTGCAGCCCCCTCAGCCTGATGACTTGGCTATTATTTGTTTTACAAGTGGAACCACAGGTATGATGTTTTTATTGGTTGTAATCTGATTACGTAACTCGCGTTACTTGTAATGCGTTACAGCAAGACTGGTTACTTCATTCTAGGCGCTAGTAACGCTAAGATCATGAGAGAATGCATGAATCGATGTCAGTGTGGACATTTGCCTTCAATGCAATGTAATGTCCTTTGAATAAAGGTGTCTGCCAAGTGTATAAATGTAAATGTCTCTTGTAGCACTCCAAATTCTTGTTTGTAAAATCAATTTGAAAGAGGATTTCAGACGACATGTGAATTGAGTGCCATGATGGACACAACGTTTCTCGTTTGGTTTCTGACAGGAAACCCTAAAGGAGCGATGCTCACCCACAGAAACATAGTGTCTAATTCTTCTGCCTTCATCTACGTCACAAAGGTAAATACAGTCTCAAATAATAGCCCTATAATCACACAACTTCAAATGCATTTAGCAAGCAGAATGCACATTTTCACTTTTTAGGAATATCTTTTAGTTTATTTTCATGACAGTTAAGCGCATTTAATCCCCACTTCTTAATGAGAAGAAATGCCATATTATTTATATTGTGTAATATTTGTTGAAATGATTATTATTTGCATTTTAATTTTATAATTTATTTTTATTATTAAATTTAAGTGACTAATTCAATCCTGTTGTGTATAATTGGTTTATTATTGCAATAGCAATATATTTCTTTAATGATTTGTTTAATTTCTATAATTCATAATAAAATAAAAACATTTTTAATCCGAATAATATTAATAATTTTTTTACCATTCTTTTATTTTACAGTACAATTTGTAACTATTTTTAATCACTCTTTGGCTGAAGCTGAAAAAACAAAACAAAATAAATAACGCTTTGAGAACACTTTTTTTTTTTTGCATTATATTTTCATGACAAAGCACATTTCATCCCCGATTCTTAATACTGTAATGAGAAAAGAATGCTAATTTACATTGTGTAATGTGTGTTGAAATAAGTGTATTTTTATTTGCATTTTAATTTGATAAATTATAATTTAATCATTTATTTTATAATTAAATGTAGTCATTTCTTTTATTGTTACATTAAAACAATATTTTATAATCAATCAGTGATTTACATTTGAACAAAGTGATGCACCAGGGAGACTAGACCTGTAATATGTTACTGTTTTCATAATATTTAGGATAAAAGCATCAGCTAAATGGCTAATTAGAGAGAGTCCCATTTGGTTTCACCTCTTGTCTTGCAGTCCTCTTGCCCCATTGGTCCTCAGGACGTGCACATCTCCTACCTGCCCCTGGCACACATGTTTGAGAGAGTCGTACAGGTCTGTGCAGGGTGCTTTCAAGTTATTTGAGCTTTTTTTCAATAAACACATTGTTTAGGGTGTTAAAATGGTGCATTGCTTGTTACACCTCATGACTGTTCACGTCCACTGACGCTGTTTCCACACTCTCAGGGTTTGATTCTGGTGCACGGCGCGCGTATCGGATACTTCCAGGGTGACATTCGAATTCTGATGGATGACCTCACGACCCTGAAGCCCACCGTATTTCCTGTGGTTCCTCGTCTGCTGAACCGCATGTTTGACAAGGTGAGCATACATTGATATGTAAGAGCCTGTAAACCTGCGAGTGATCACAGAAACTAGATTAAACCTGCAGCAAACAGGAATGTGTAAATCAGAGGGAAAAAAACGGCTGTGTTTTCGAATACATTTAAAATACATGCGTTTCAGTAAATGCTGCTCCACACAAACGCCAACTCTGCAAGTGCTGTGAGTTTGGGTTGCTTATATTGTGCATTTGAAAATGCAGCACGCACCAATTATCTTCCCAAATTTGTAATGAAAATCGGTTATAAATCTGTTATTAACAAAAGAGAAGCTTTAATCTCTCCCAGCGGTTTCCCACCACAATAATAGCTCTATAGTTTAACGTTTGAAAGCAAAGAAATTAAGAGTGCCATCAAAATTAATATTATAATTTTTTTTTCTGTCAAATTAAATTGATCATTTTTAATACTCATTTTCATATAGTTTAATTTAATTGTATAATTCAAATATTAATAATAATAACAATAATTTTATAATAATAATAAATAGCCCATTTTATAGTACTGTAGATTTAATGCAATTGTAATATATTTATTGATCGATTTCATTTGTATAATTAAAGTAATATTAAAATAAAATATTTTGAATAATAATAATAAAAATAATAATTTATTGTTGTTGTTATTATTATAATTTAAGTCTTTTTTTATTTTATTTTACAGCACAATAGTAGTACTGGATTAGTAATATAGTTCTTTATTGATTGAAAATACAACTTATTTGATATCTTTCACCTCATTCGTGTCTTTCCTCTCGTTGTATTTTTATGTGTGAGATGCTCTCATGTAGTAGTAATGTAGTGAAACCCTCTCGTAGATCTACGGACAGGCCAACAGTTCCCTGAAGAGACACATCCTGGAGTTTGCGTTCAGGAGGAAAGAGAACGAGATGAAGAGCGGGATCATGAGGAGGGACAGTGTTTGGGACAAGATCATCTTCAAGAAAGTCCAGGTGATTATTGAACTGAGAATGTGCTTGCTGTGTTTTTTTTGCTGACAAAATTAGAAACAGTTGTAGTGTGAAAAGCTGGTATGTTTAGAGTAGTAATGGGTCTCTGCTGCCCCCTGTAGGCCAGTGTTGGAGGTCACGTTCGAATGATGTTGACTGGAGCGGCACCCATTTCAGCACCTGTTCTCACCTTCCTGCGAGCTGCATTGGGCTGCCAGGTGCAGTTTGATTACTTAAACGCATACATTTAAACATATTTCACCATATGTTATACCATTTTCCTGCTGGTTGTGAAGTAAATGTCTTTTCCTTGCAGTTTTACGAAGGATATGGTCAGACTGAATGCACCGCCGGCAGCACAACTACACTACCAGGAGACTGGACTGCTGGTAACATACACACACACTGATGCATGTGCAATTATTAACACGCTTGCATGTTTATGTTGACTGTTTCATGGTGTCGTTGCAGGTCATGTTGGAGCTCCTCTGTCCTGTAATGACATCAAACTAGTGGATGTGGCAGAGATGAACTATTATGCCGCTAAAGGCGAGGGAGAGGTGTGTGTGTCCATGTTGTTTTAATATAGATGAGATACTATTGTAATGATTTAATGTAGTCATATTATTATATGTACAGATCACGAATGTATCAAAGATTAGGATTGTAATTGTTATTTTATTTGTTTTTAATATATAATTTTAAATATTATTATTAATTTTTACATTTATTCATTCATTCAATTATTCCTTCATTTTTGATATGGATATATATTTGAAAATGTATACATTATACTACAATTTAAATGTACTGTTTACTGTATACTTAATTTGTATATTAAGTATACACTAAATAAGAAGTTTTTAAAATATGTATATATATATATATATATATATTAAAATGTTTTGATATATTGTTGTGGAAAGAGGTAATGTGAGAAATAAATTCAAAATGTTGCAGTTGTATGAAGTTTCTTGTTAAAAAAAAAGAGAGACATTATTATAGTTTTTGTTAATATTTTGAGTTAGATTTTGTTTTTATATATTCTGTTTTCACTTTAATTTGAAAGTTTATTTATTTTTAAAAACATCTGTAGGTTTTATTATTATTTTTTTATTAGTTTTAGTTTGTTTAGTTTTAGTTATTTTAATAACAAAAAAAATTGTAGTGTAAAATAGTAATCTAAAAAAATAGTTAATAAGGTTTATTTTGTTTCAAATAATATTTATTTATTTATTTCATGGTTTTAGTTTGAGTTAACACTAATAACCCTGATGTGTGTGTTGTAGTTGTGTGTTTGCATGTGGTCTTTCACACATTTGACAAGTTCTTGTGTTGTTTCTGGCAGGTGTGTGTGAGGGGTCCCAATGTTTTTAAGGGGTATCTGAAAGACCCTGAGAAGACGAAGGAAGCTCTTGATGAAGATGGTTGGGTTCACACTGGAGACATTGGCAAGTGGTTGCCGGTAAGAACGGTTTAATAGATAACCCTCGTTCTGTGTTCGAAATGAAGTTAGAAAATGAAGAACATAGATCCACAATTTTGGTGCATGATAAATAAATAAAAAAACATGATACAGCTAATGAAATGCTTACATGTAGAATTTAAACTACTTGAAAGGTCTTTTTTTAGTCTCTTCTACTCATCAAGGCTGCATTTATTTGATCAGAAATACAGTAAAAACTTTAATAATATGAAATGTTTACAATTTAAAATAACGGTTTTATATTTGAATATATTTAAAAGTGTAATTTATTGCTGTGATGCAAAGCTGAATGTTCAGCATCATTACTCCAGTCTTCAGTGTCACATGATCCTTCAGAAATTATTCTAATATACTGATTTGCTGCTCAAGAATTTGTTCATCATCATTATCATTTATTTTTGCGGCTTAATATATTTGTGGAAACTGTGAAACAGGTTTTTTTTTGTCGGGATTCTTTGATGAACAGGAATGGAAATGGAAATCTTTTGTAACATTATAAAAGCCTTTATGGTCACTTTGGATCAAATTTGGATTTAACAAGTCCTTGCTGAATAAAAGTATTAATTTCTTAAAATTTTACTGAGCCTAAACTTTTGAATGGTAATGCATAAAAAAAAAACATGTTCATTGTAAAAATGAACAAATTTTCTAACATACAGGTAGTGTATAATAAATGCTATATAAAAAAAAAAAAATAGTTACTGGTCCTTTTAGCAGGTTAAATTCATGTAAAATATGCCATTATTTAAATAGACTATATGGACATATTTTGATAGTTTTCAGTTAGTGAAATAATCAAATTGAATCCTGCCATATTTATATTGTAAGAATAGAGATGGTGCTCATGAACCTGCACATATACACTCAACCACCACACCATTTTTGTTTTGCAGAATGGCACTCTAAAGATTGTGGACCGTAAGAAGCACATTTTTAAGCTGGCTCAGGGTGAATACATCGCTCCAGAGAAGATCGAGAACATTTACATCAGGAGTGAAGCTGTGGCGCAGACTTTCGTACATGGAGACAGTCTGCAGGTGAGGAGAGAGAGAACAACACACAGATGGAGGCAGAAAAAGTATTTATTATTTATTGTTCTCTCATTTTCTCCACAGGCCTGTCTGGTAGCCATCATTGTGCCTGATCCAGACTTTCTGCCCGGCTGGGCCAAGAAGAGAGGCATAGAGGGCTCATATGAAGAGCTGTGCAAAAATAAGGTAAAGACAGATCTTACATGTGCATTTTGTTCACTTCCACACTTTTCAGAGAGTTGCATGCATTGGTGTATTCGGATCTTGAATAAAATGTAAGTATCTAACAAACCACAAAGTTTCGTGTGAATAATGTGTCTGTGTTTTCAGGAGGTGAAGAAAGCCATTCTGGAGGATATTGTCAAACTGGGTAAAGAAAGTGGCCTGAAGTCTTTTGAACAGGTGAGGTTCGCCCTTGATAAAACACAAAAAAAATATATTAAGGCCTAAATGTAAGATTTATGTATTTTAAGTGCATATAACATTTCCATTCATTTGGATTATACAGTTTCAACATAAACTAATAAACTTAATGTGTGCTGCATATTTGTCAGTTATACATAAATGAAACTGCTAAGAAACAAGTAAGATTTCTGCACTCCAAACAATCATGGTATAGTTTATTATTAATTATTTGCATTTGATTTTATTTAAAGGGGTCCTATTATAATGTCTTGAATTTGTTTTGGGGGTGTACTAGAACATGCTCTCATGCTTGGTGGTTCGAAAAACGCATTATTCTTTTTTACATAATTTTCATTATTACAAAAACTTTCTCCCCATCCTGGCACAAACGGCTCGATTAGTTCCGGCTTTGATGAACGCCCGCCTTCTGAAAAACGAAATGTGATGTGATTGGTTAGCTGTCTCAGTGCGTTGTGATTGGTTAACAGCTTAGACGGTGTTTCCGTGCTGCCCCGCCCCTTGCCAAAGCGGCAAGTTTAGGTAAGGATGGCGTCAATATTGCCATATCAGTTTGAGCCGGATTCAGTCCCAGAGAATATTGAACAAGAGGATCGCGCAGAACCTTTGCATGCACGGATATTGCAAGACATATTAGAGTGGTAACGTTATTGTTTTTTTTGGGCTAAATCACGTTTTAGATAGGTTTAGATGTCAACAACTGCTTAAAAATAACTGCATTTACTATGTACAGATAAGTGCATATGTATTCTTTTTTGTTATTTAATTCTAATATTATAACATGAATTGCAGTGAAACTGTTATACAGTTGAATTTATTTATACCATAGTCCAGTGTTTCCCAGGCGGCATATATATGGAAACTCATTCTCTGCCAGCAGGAGGCGCTGTTGGAGTGATAGAGATCAAGGTTTCCCCGGTAGCAGCTGTACACAAAGCAGCACTCCGCTCAAAAAAACACTGCTTTATCAGACATTACATGCAAGATTAAATGAAAATGACATCCAATTTTCTGAAGACAGTCGGTTTCCTTCAGAAATACCGTGATATAAAACACCCGCACTCTGTGTACTGTACTATTGTACTGACAGCAATTTATTATAAAAACGTTTTCATAATTGTAACAGATATTTTCATACATAATTATTCAGGTGTTTTGTAACATTATAAAAGCCTTTATGGTCACTTTGGATCAAATTTGGATTTAACAAGTCCTTGCTGAATAAAAGTATTAATTTCTTAAAATTTTACTGAGCCTAAACTTTTGAATGGTAATGCATAAAAAAAAAACATGTTCATTGTAAAAATGAACAAATTTTCTAACATACAGGTAGTGTATAATAAATGCTATATAAAAAAAAAAAAATAGTTACTGGTCCTTTTAGCAGGTTAAATTCATGTAAAATATGCCATTATTTAAATAGACTATATGGACATATTTTGATAGTTTTCAGTTAGTGAAATAATCAAATTGAATCCTGCCATATTTATATTGTAAGAATAGAGATGGTGCTCATGAACCTGCACATATACACTCAACCACCACACCATTTTTGTTTTGCAGAATGGCACTCTAAAGATTGTGGACCGTAAGAAGCACATTTTTAAGCTGGCTCAGGGTGAATACATCGCTCCAGAGAAGATCGAGAACATTTACATCAGGAGTGAAGCTGTGGCGCAGACTTTCGTACATGGAGACAGTCTGCAGGTGAGGAGAGAGAGAACAACACACAGATGGAGGCAGAAAAAGTATTTATTATTTATTGTTCTCTCATTTTCTCCACAGGCCTGTCTGGTAGCCATCATTGTGCCTGATCCAGACTTTCTGCCCGGCTGGGCCAAGAAGAGAGGCATAGAGGGCTCATATGAAGAGCTGTGCAAAAATAAGGTAAAGACAGATCTTACATGTGCATTTTGTTCACTTCCACACTTTTCAGAGAGTTGCATGCATTGGTGTATTCGGATCTTGAATAAAATGTAAGTATCTAACAAACCACAAAGTTTCGTGTGAATAATGTGTCTGTGTTTTCAGGAGGTGAAGAAAGCCATTCTGGAGGATATTGTCAAACTGGGTAAAGAAAGTGGCCTGAAGTCTTTTGAACAGGTGAGGTTCGCCCTTGATAAAACACAAAAAAAATATATTAAGGCCTAAATGTAAGATTTATGTATTTTAAGTGCATATAACATTTCCATTCATTTGGATTATACAGTTTCAACATAAACTAATAAACTTAATGTGTGCTGCATATTTGTCAGTTATACATAAATGAAACTGCTAAGAAACAAGTAAGATTTCTGCACTCCAAACAATCATGGTATAGTTTATTATTAATTATTTGCATTTGATTTTATTTAAAGGGGTCCTATTATAATGTCTTGAATTTGTTTTGGGGGTGTACTAGAACATGCTCTCATGCTTGGTGGTTCGAAAAACGCATTATTCTTTTTTACATAATTTTCATTATTACTCTCCCCATCTCCCCATCCTGGCACAAACGGCTCGATTAGTTCCGGCTTTGATGAACGCCCGCCTTCTGAAAAACGAAAGATTGGTTAGTCAGTGCGTTGTGATTGGTTAACAGCTTAGACGGTGTTTCCGTGCTGCCCCGCCCCTTGCCAAAGCGGCAAGTTTAGGTAAGGATGGCGTCAATATTGCCATATCAGTTTGAGCCGGATTCAGTCCCAGAGAATATTGAACAAGAGGATCGCGCAGAACCTTTGCACGCACGGATATTGCAAGACATATTAGAGTGGTAACGTTATTGTTTTTTTTGGGCTAAATCACGTTTTAGATAGGTTTAGATGTCAACAACTGCTTAAAAATAACTGCATTTACTATGTACAGATAAGTGCATATGTATTCTTTTTTGTTATTTAATTCTAATATTATAACATGAATTGCAGTGAAACTGTTATACAGTTGAATTTATTTATACCATAGTCCAGTGTTTCCCAGGCGGCATATATATGGAAACTCATTCTCTGCCAGCAGGAGGCGCTGTTGGAGTGATAGAGATCAAGGTTTCCCCGGTAGCAGCTGTACACAAAGCAGCACTCCGCTCAAAAAAACACTGCTTTATCAGACATTACATGCAAGATTAAATGAAAATGACATCCAATTTTCTGAAGACAGTCGGTTTCCTTCAGAAATACCGTGATATAAAACACCCGCACTCTGTGTACTGTACTATTGTACTGACAGCAATTTATTATAAAAACGTTTTCATAATTGTAACAGATATTTTCATACATAATTATTCAGGTGCATGTGTAATAACTTGCGAAAACTTGAGGCTACAGCAGCACTTCATCTTCGTCGTCCTCTTGTCTGATTCACTAAACCAAGCGTTCTAGCCACGACCTTGCCCCTCACCCCCCAACCATTCGAATTTCCGTAGGCGGGAATTATTTTAATGATATTCTAATGGGCCGCTTTGTGACATCACAAAACCCGGAAAACAAACGATGTAGTCCAAACGAGCCGTTCGTTGTAGTTCTTCAAAAGGGATTTTTTAAAAACGAAATATCTCCCTTTGGAGTGGACTTTGAGATTTGTAAGTTTGAAGATCTTTTTTATGCCCAAACATACACACTACACACCGACTAAAATTCAAAAAGTGAAAAAAGCATAATAGGACCCCTTTAAATAATCATATTTTTTAGCACTTTTAATTATTTTCATTGTGAAAATAATTGCATATATTTATTTAAGGAAATTGCATATGCAGTTCAAATACATAAATCTTACATTTAGGACTAAATATTTTTGAGTGCATTTAAATGCGTAAAGAAGTGATTTAATAAATGATGACCGCTTTTTCATCATCTTCACTTCTCAGGTGAAGGACATTGCTCTTCACACCGAGATGTTCTCCATCCAAAACGGCCTCCTGACGCCCACCCTGAAAGCCAAGCGCGCTGATCTCAGGAACCACTTCAGGAAGCTGATCGATGAGCTTTACTCCAACATCAAAATGTAAACCAGAGGAAGAGCCTCAGATATTACAGAGTAACAGAGCTGACATGGGTCCCATGACTGAATAGAGCTGGTCCAAAATAAGAAACTTGACAGAGCTTGTTGTCAACTGACATAGCATCAGTTTTATGTGCCTTTCAGAATAAGATTATGTACTGTAGATCAGCTGTTACTCGAAGCTTCATCACTCAGCTTCAGCTTTAAAGATTCCACCTCAGGAAATCGTCCCTACATTTTGACACCATCATTTTTACCTTTAACTATTTTAAGAGAAAGGGAAGAGAAATCCAAGAGCAAAAACAAACCTAATGCTGTTATTGAAGACATAATAATGTTCCTCTTTAATTTAAGCGTAATTTTTTTTTCTAATGAGATTATGTAGATTAGGTGATGATGCTTAAATTTGCTGACAATTTATTCATCCTCACTCCCAAGTTGTAGATGACTCGAAGCTTCATCACTCAGCTTCAGCTTTAAAGATTCCACCTCAGGAAATCGTCCCTACATTTTGACACCATCATTTTTACCTTTAACTATTTTAAGAGAAAGGGAAGAGAAATCCAAGAGCAAAAACAAACCTAATGCTGTTATTGAAGACATAATAATGTTCCTCTTTAATTTAAGCGTAATTTTTTTTTCTAATGAGATTATGTAGATTAGGTGATGATGCTTAAATTTGCTGACAATTTATTCATCCTCACTCCCAAGTTGTAGATGAGTTTGTTCATGGGAACAGATTTGGAGAAATGTAGCATTACATCACTTGCTCACCAATGGATCCTCTGCAGTGAATGATAAAAACTGATAAAAACATCACAAGTAATCCACATGACTCCAGTCCATCAATTAACAAAAGCGAAAAGCTGCATGTTTGTGAGACTCATATGTTTGTGGAGAGACGTCGTGTGAATTATCGTGATGTTTTTATCAGCTGTTTGGACTCTCATTCTGACGGCACCCATTCACTGCAGAGGATCCATTGGCGAGCAACTGATGTAATGCTACATTTCTCCAAATCTGTTCCTATGAACAAACAAACTCATCTGCATCTTCTATGACCTGAGGGTGAGTAAGTTTTTAGCAAACAATTCCTTTAATATAGCAAAAATTTGTGGCCTTTATATATAATTTTTAAATTGAACTACTGCTTCAGCGGCGGTGACTGTATCTTGTAATGATCTCACATTGTGTATGGGAAATATTATATACAGTCTCAGGGGAAAATGTGCCTTATTAATGGACATCAGCTGCATTTGAGTGTTGCTGATGAAAGAGGAAAGCGCACACATGAAAAAATAAAATAAAATATATATACATTTTTACAATAATTTTGTACCGTACCTCACAAGCAACACGAAGGGTGAAGCACACACTCCACACTAGATTTAGAGTGGGAAATATTTCAATATTTTGTCTTCCAGTAGATATTTTAATATTCCGTGTTGCTGATGAAAGAGGAAAACGCACACATGAAAAAAAAAAAAATATATATATACATTTTTACAATAATTTTGTACCGTACCTCACAAGCAACTCGAAGGGTGAAGCACACACTCCACACTAGATTTAGAGTGGGAAATATTTCAATATTTTGTCTTCCAGTAGATATTTTAATATTCTGAAGCCTTTTCCTGGACTCTTTATTAACAGGATGTAAATTAAATAAAAAAGGAAGGTTTTGTATTTTAGGAAAATGACTGTTATTGGTCCTTGATTCGAGAAACACCAGCAAAGCGGATTTGTTCAGTTCAATTTTAAATATAATTCTGTATATTTGTATAGAACTTATTTTAAAGCAGCTTTACAAAGAATAGCGCCTTACAAAATGTCCGTGCAAATGGTTCATAAATCTGTTTTTATGAATGATTTAATCAAATTAGTTTTGCTTGTGTTTCATGAATAAGGTCCGTTGAGTTTAAACACAGCCTGTGTGATTACAGTATGTACCTATATAAGCCATATGCTGTCTATACGATGCTTTCCTCATCTTAAATGTTGACTTTAAGACAGCTTGCATTCTTAGCACAAACAACAACTAATTGTGTTGCTTATTTATGTGAAGGCTTTGAATGGCAGGGGTTTTCAGGTGTAATATAATGGATGTGACGTGTCTCATATCATTATGCTGAAACAGCATAGCAGAATACAGGAGCTTTCCACACGTGTCCTTGTATTTCATTGATGGTTGCTGCTTCATGCTCATTGTAACTGTGTGTTTATTATGCACAGGTTGTTTTTATTGTTTATTTTATTCAAGATTTATCTTGTGTGTGAAATGACCTGTAAGCCAAATCAACTGTCATGTGTGTGACAAACAAAAGTGCACTCGTAAAATGACTCACTTGTACTCAAATACATTAATCGTGACAGTAATGATACATGTAAATTTTCAATGTAAGAGATGTACATGATTAAAATGAAATATGATTTATGGATGATGAAGAGTTGGTTAAAGCGGTTTTTCTTTCAGGGCTATGAAAATTAAATTGTAGGTTTGTTTCATGTAAATAGTCATGGGACAAAAACCATTTATTTCCAATTTACACGTTCTGTTATAACTGCATAGGAAAGAATCAATTAAAACTGTCAATCAAATCAATAAAAAAAATATTTTATATTTCTATATATTTTAAAAATGAGAAAAGACATGCAGTTTATTATCCAAGCAGTACAATATACATGTGCTCATTTAGCTTGGATTAAGTGTGCTTCTTCATAATTGTTCTATTTTTTTTATTTTTTATAATTATTAGTATTATTATTGCATTTAAATACAAAATTGGGTTAATGTATAGACCAGCACGCCTGTGAGCAAAAAATAGAATTATTTTAAAAGAATTATAATTAATTCAAATATTTACGTGCCCTAAAATAAAAGTTGATACAGTTTAGACACACTAAAAAAAAAATTCCACCCAGTACGCTGTATACAAAATTACGTTATTTATTTTTTAACAAACCACTGATATAAAACATCTGTTTATTTATTTATTTTGGTCAGTTTCATAGTACTTTACTGGTTTTAGTATTACATACAATCTTGTCCCAAGAACAGCTTTGTAAAGAGGATGCGTAACGTCATGACGTCGTTTCGTGCGTGCGTGGATTATGGCGACGTCCCTGGGCTCAAACACCTACAACAGACAGAACTGGGAAGATTCGGTATGTTTTAGTCATTATCAAACTCATAACACAGTGCAGACTGCTTCAAAAATGTGTCAGTGTCTTCGCTTATTGAAAGATAAGCACATTTTCATCTGACAGTTATGGAAAGTGAGAAATAATTCGCGCACTCTGCTGCTGTATTGCTGTCTGCTGTGTTTTATTAGAATATTAAATAAACCATTAATGAAGTTAACAGAGGCATTTTGATTAATGAAGGTCTTAATATCAGTTTCAAATATTTTTCTACAAATATCTTTACATAAGTGTCAAATATTAGTAATGAGTGTTATGATGCTTTTTGGCATTATCATGATAAAAGCTTGTTTACTTATTTTTATTCTCACGTAACCACTTGGCAATGCAAAAAAATATATCAGTTTAGAAGAGAAACAAACAAACAAACAAAAACGTTGTCAAAAAGCTTATCAAAAATCTATAAAATGTCAAAAAGAAGGTCACGCCACGAATGTCACTCATTGTGATTCAACAAACTGCTAATTTAATTGATAACGTTGGTTATTAAAGCCAATGTGCATTTCATGTTTCTGTGTATTTCATGTTTGGGATGTCTAAGAAGGCTTTATATATTCCATTTATCCAGCTGTTCCATTGAATACATCAGAGTGTCTTCATGACATTATTTACAGACAGCTGATTTTAGATCAAATGTCAGCACATGCTGTTCTGTTTAAACATCCAGACAATGGCTTTGTCACGTGTTATGACCCTTTATGAGAACTGGCTTCGTTGAATGTCCTGCACACTAGAAACTGTTTCAGCGAGACAGGGGTAGCTGCAGGTTGGAGTAACGGGCTTGCCGAAAGGTGATTGCTACAACAGAAACTAACCCCTAACCCTAACCCTAACCAGTTAGAAAGACCTTTATCCACACCCTACCTTTCGTTTCGCCCTAATCTTTCGCCATGCCCACTGTTCCAGCCTGCAATTACCCCTACTTGGTTTAAGCAGTGATCAGAAAATCTGTCCCTTTCTGAGCGATAAAGTCCTAGAGGATCCAGAATGCCAGCTCTCTCTCTCCTTCAGCAGATATCAGTGCTGCTGTGATTGCTAAAACTATCTTTAGCTCCTCTAATGAGGTGAATGACATGGTAGAACTTGTTGAGGGAGCAGTTTAGAGAGATCAGGAATTTATACAGCATCTTAACGCAAGTGTGAAGATACAGCAAAGCACTTATTGCTGGAAATGGGTCAACATTTGACACAATAAAAGCTTAAAAATAAAATAAAATAAAATAAAAAAGTGACGTGACATGTGGCCTAGTATGGTTACCTATACTAGGAATTAGTGCTCTGCATTTAACACACACACACCGTGAACACACACTCGGAGCAGTGGGCAGCCATTTATGCTGTGGCGCCCGGGGAGCAGTTGGGGGTTCGGTGCTTTGCTCAAGGGCACCTCAGTCGTGGTATTGAAGGTGGGAGAGAGCGCTGTACATTCCCTCCCCCCACCTACAATCCCTGCCGGTACTAGACTCGAACCCACAACCTTTGGGGTTACGAGTCCGACTCTCTAACCATTAGGCCACGACTTCCCCTTATCTGATATAAAGTTCTTATCTACAAATATCTTTACATAAGTGTCAAATATTAGTAATGAGTGTTATGATGCTTTTTGGCATTATCATGATAAAAGCTTGTTTACTTATTTTTATTCTCACGTAACCACTTGGCAATGCAAAAAAATATATCAGTTTAGAAGAGAAACAAACAAACAAACAAAAACGTTGTCAAAAAGCTTATCAAAAATCTATAAAATGTCAAAAAGAAGGTCACGCCACGAATGTCACTCATTGTGATTCAACAAACTGCTAATTTAATTGATAACGTTGGTTATTAAAGCCAATGTGCATTTCATGTTTCTGTGTATTTCATGTTTGGGATGTCTAAGAAGGCTTTATATATTCCATTTATCCAGCTGTTCCATTGAATACATCAGAGTGTCTTCATGACATTATTTACAGACAGCTGATTTTAGATCAAATGTCAGCACATGCTGTTCTGTTTAAACATCCAGACAATGGCTTTGTCACGTGTTATGACCCTTTATGAGAACTGGCTTCGTTGAATGTCCTGCACACTAGAAACTGTTTCAGCGAGACAGGGGTAGCTGCAGGTTGGAGTAACGGGCTTGCCGAAAGGTGATTGCTACAACAGAAACTAACCCCTAACCCTAACCCTAACCAGTTAGAAAGACCTTTATCCACACCCTACCTTTCGTTTCGCCCTAATCTTTCGCCATGCCCACTGTTCCAGCCTGCAATTACCCCTACTTGGTTTAAGCAGTGATCAGAAAATCTGTCCCTTTCTGAGCGATAAAGTCCTAGAGGATCCAGAATGCCAGCTCTCTCTCTCCTTCAGCAGATATCAGTGCTGCTGTGATTGCTAAAACTATCTTTAGCTCCTCTAATGAGGTGAATGACATGGTAGAACTTGTTGAGGGAGCAGTTTAGAGAGATCAGGAATTTATACAGCATCTTAACGCAAGTGTGAAGATACAGCAAAGCACTTATTGCTGGAAATGGGTCAACATTTGACACAATAAAAGCTTAAAAATAAAATAAAAAAGTGACGTGACATGTGGCCTAGTATGGTTACCTATACTAGGAATTAGTGCTCTGCATTTAACACACACACACCATGAACACACACTCGGAGCAGTGGGCAGCCATTTATGCTGTGGCGCCCGGGGAGCAGTTGGGGGTTCGGTGCTTTGCTCAAGGGCACCTCAGTCGTGGTATTGAAGGTGGGAGAGAGCGCTGTACATTCACTCCCCCCACCTACAATCCCTGCCGGTACTAGACTCGAACCCACAACCTTTGGGGTTACGAGTCCGACTCTCTAACCATTAGGCCACGACTTCCCCTTATCTGATATAAAGTTCTTATAAATGTAATATTTGTATTTGTGCTGATTTCATACAGTTTTTGAATGATTTGTATATCAGTTTCAACATTTTGATGTAATTTAGTGATGAGGAAATTAAGAAAAAGTTAGTTTTGCATACACATTGAATGTACATGACTGTACTCATCTTAATAATTATTTTCAAAAAAAAAAGTCAAAAGTATTTTCCATGATAAAAGGTTTTTTTTTAACAATTATTTTGACTTTCATTAATGAATATCATCAGGTTATACCACTGGACATTTGAAAGCCTGAACTCATGTGATAAAAACGCTTTATAGGTTGCTTGTCATATGTTTATACAACACAGCCTTTGCCAAATTTTGTTTGTATAGGACTTTTCACAATTCAAATTGATTTAAAGAAAGTCGTACTGTTATCTCTGTAATAGATAATGCTTTAACATAGAGCAAGTTTTACAGCTGGACAAAATGGCCAAAAATAACAATGATGTAAAGGTTCTCTGGATTATATCTAGCTATGATATATTTATTATTTTGTGTAGCTGCTAGCACATATTTTATTTTATTATATTTTATTTTGTCAAAGGTCATTTGTTGTTCTGATTTTTAAGTTTTTTTCTTCTTTTTTTCACTCCAGGACTTCCCTATTCTCTGTCAAACATGTCTTGGGGAAAATCCATACATTCGCATGGTAAGTGATTTCAGTTTTTAAGTTACCTGCAAAGAGTGAAAGCTTTTTTTGTTGTTGCTGTTTTTGTCACTCTTGGGTAATTTAAAAGTATCAATTTAAACGTGAAGCTTTTCATTTTATAATTATTTGTTTATATTTTGTTTTTGCAGACTAAGGAAAAGTATGGCAAGGAATGCAAGGTGAGCTGACGATCTGATGTTTGGTTATACAGTAGGCTAGGGCTGGGCGATATGTCATAAATATCTTATCGATAATCGCCTTTAAAAATATCGCGATTTCCGATAATATCGTCTACCTAATTATTTCATTCTTGCATGCAAAAAGACCTGTATGGTGACTGTGGGGCTATGTAAAATATTTTTTGCAACTTGCTAGGTTTGTCATTTGTCATTTTTTTCTCTGTAATGTCGATAATCATCTGTTACCTGACTGTTGACATCGACATCGCGATTCTTACGAGACATCGTGGATATACGATAATATCGTCATACCGCCCAGCCCTACAGTAGGCATGTATCTTAAGAATTGTAACTAGGTGTGTTATCAAATCAAAGTCCTTTAAATGTTTTTCAGATATGTGCACGTCCCTTCACTGTTTTCCGCTGGTGTCCTGGAGTACGGATGCGCTTTAAGAAGACTGAGGTGTGTCAGACCTGCAGTAAGATGAAGAACGTCTGTCAGACATGTTTGCTGGACCTGGAGTACGGTATGAGTTACACACCAGAACCAAAACCAGAAAATCTCTTCCTCTCTAGTCTCTACCAGACTACAACTATTTTTTTCAATTCTCAGCCTATTTTCACATGTATGACTTTAAAGTGCCCCTATTATGGATTTTTGAAAATTACCTTTCATGCAGTGTGTAACATAGCTGTATTTGAATGTAAACGATCTGCAAAGTTGTAAAGCTGAGAGTGAATCATAAACAAAGTTATTGTCTCTCAAAAGAAAGAGTCGACTCTGAATCACTTAAACGAGTCGTTTAAAATTCGAATCCCATTTCTGTGACATTAACATGGCACACGTTACCACATTTGCATATTGCCCGCCCATGTACTACGTTCAGTTTGTTTGGACCGGCTTGCTCCTCCGAATCACAACCTGTAAGTATGCTTAATAATTTTTGCTTTAATATTCTGTTGAGCATGCAAAATATGTAGTTTTCTGTGTGGTGTGTTGTGTTGTGTATACACTCAATGCCGCTGTAAGTCTCCGGCTAACTCGCGCCATTTATTGCAAATCAGCAGTATCATTTTAGTATAATTGAGATACTGTAATCGTTTTTATTAATATTTCAAATTTTTATATTTTCATTTTAAAGTAATTTTTTGTAATTTTGTTGTGTTTTGTCATTTTTAGTTTTTTTTTTAAATATGTCTGTAGTTTTAGTTATTTTTTATTTCAGTTTTAGTTAAGCTAAATGAAAATAAGAATTACAATCTAGCGGAAATACATTTTTTTTTAATGGTTTTAGTTTTAGTTAACTGTAATAACCCTGCATATCAGAGGGTATGTTTGCAATGCCACACTGTCACACTTTATATAATTAGAAAAATCTTCATTCTTATTTTGTGAAAAAACGATGTAATGGAAAGTTTCAAAAAGAACTCAAAAAAATATTATATTAGACCTTTTTTTGCAAATCTGTGGCTGTGTAATTCATTAAATTATAAAAAAGAAACATTACAATAAATAATTTTAAAATAAAAACAATCAAAATAAAAAAAGATTATTAATAAATGAAATTAAATAAAAAAATGTTTGTTGTTTACCTGCACATGCAAATGTGTTGTTAAATTATCAAAATATTAAGTTAAAATCTTATAAGTAAATATTTCACATTAAAGTAGTTTGACTGATAGAACAGTTTGGGAATAACGGCCTTAAGTAATGTTTGTGTTTACAGGTCTTCCAATCCAGGTCAGAGACACGGGCATGTCCATCAAAGATGATTTGCTGAGGTCTGACGTGAACAAGGAATATTACACTCAGAACATGGAGAGAAAGGTGACATTTAATACAAATATTACATCTAAGAAATCCAATGCCTGAAAAAAGAAAAATGTAAAATTGTAGCATGTGCTTTATGTAAACAATGTACTTTAGTTTGTTGTCTTTGTCAGATCCAAAACTCAGACAGTACCAGACCGGTAGGGATGCTGGGTAAAGCACAGAACCCCAGTGACATGCTGCTGAAGCTGGCGCGAACCACGCCATACTACAAACGCAACAGACCCCATATCTGCTCCTTCTGGGTGAAGGGAGAGTGTAAGAGAGGAGAGGAGTGTCCCTACAGGTTAATTTGACTTTTCAGTTTGAGTATTTTAAGAGGGTTAAATCATTCACTTATAATGTCAGTACATTTTTTTTTCTAAGTGCTATGAAAGAAGGCAAGTATCTCAGATTCCAATATGTATACTGATATTTAAATCAATTTATGGGCATGAAATGAGTAAATATAGGCGTTAAATTTGGGCCATTGTTTTTAATAGGTCTAAACTGTTATAGAATATAAAAAAATATTATAACTTTTAATTTAAGTAAACTTAAAACAGTCTTCACATAAACCCATTATAATGTATTATGCATTCAATACAAAAATATTTTAATAAGCAACTTTTTGTTCAATCGACCTTCTTTAGGCTTACTCAGGTTTTATATTTTTCTAATTAAAAAGATGAAAAAATAATATATATACTGTATATATATATATATAAAAAAAATTTTTTTGGCATGCAGTATTATCATAAGTGGGTGATTTTGGGCATATTAAGTATATTTTATATTAAATATATAAAATATTTTTGTTTAATTTTATTATTTTATTATTTCATTTTATTATTTTTTTCCGAATGAATGTTAAACATTATACATTATATAAAAATATAAATCACATAAGTTCATGCGTTATTTTTGACAGCCCTAGTGTTATTATAGCATATTATATTTTTATTTTATTTAATCTTTTCGAAAAGCTCATGACATTAATTAGACATTAACAAACAAGTTAAATTCATTTCTATAATTAAATTCATTTCTCATTTAGCTAAAGTGAAATATAACTGAATTCAAGCAGGAATTCATGTTCTTAATCATGGTGGGACTCTGCTGTAATGCAGATGACTGTCCTCACAGTGGCAGTAGCAGTGTTGTGTTACTGTCCAAAAATACTGTCCAAAGTCACTAAAATCATTTATGTCCCATCAGGCATGAGAAACCCACAGACCCTGATGATCCTCTGGCCGATCAGAACATTAAAGATCGTTATTATGGCATCAACGACCCGGTGGCAGATAAACTTCTGAAGAGATCATCCAGCATGCCTCGACTGGACCCGCCCGAGGACAAGTCCATCACCACATTATACATTGGGGGACTGGGAGAAAACCTCACTGACTCTGAGCTCAGGTAAGCAGAGATTCAGGAACAATAGTATTGCCATTTTAAATCTTAAAGCGTATTATCAGTACTGTAACATACTGAAAACACACTTTAAGATTTAAAATGGCAATAATATTGTTGTATTCAAAAACTCCTCATGTATAATAGTGTTATTTTAGTAACATTAATGTACTATTATAGATATTAACATTTTGAATTAGCTTTTATTTTTATATTTTCTGTTTAATTTTAATTTGAAAGTTTTAGTATTTTCATAAATAAGTATAGTATTTTTTTGTTGTATTTTTGTCATTTTTAGTATATTTTTTATTTGAGTTTTTATTCATTTTTAGTTATGTTATTTTAGTTGTAGTTATTTAAGTACAGCAAATTCAACTTAATGAAAACGTTGCCTTGGCAGATAGCTGGGGGTGAAAAAAATAAATATATATACATTTAAAGTTAATTTTATTAAAGTTAGTTTTTGTTAATGTAAAGTTTTTATTTTCTATATTTTTGGTTTTTATTTAAATTTTAGTTCAACTTTTAGTAATTTTGTTCAATGTGTCTATATAATTTTTTTATAATGTTTTTTTAATTTTTATTGAATTTTATTAATTTTATTTTAGTTATTTTACTGCATCATGTTAATTTTATTGAAACATGAAACATAGTTCACTAAACATGAACAATAAACAAACTTATTTAACAAACAATTTACAATGGGGGAAAAATAAATAATAAAAAAAATAAAATAATGTTACCATTATGAAAACAACTGACAAAATTTAAATAAATTAATACTTAAATCCAACCAAGGAGAGTGGGACTTAAAGTCAGAGCCATATCATATATATACATACATGGGAATTAAATATATATATGAGACTTAAGGCCAAAGCCATGTTGTGCATATTATATACAGTGGGTACAGAAAGTATTCAGACCCCCTTAAATTTTTCACTCTTTGTTATATTGCAGCCATTTGCTAAAATCATTTAAGTTAATTTTTTTTCCTCATTAATGTACACACAGCACCCCATATTGACAGAAAAACACAGAATTTATATATATATATATATATATATATATATATATATATATATATATATATATATATATATATATATATATATTTTTGGATGACTGAAATAAGTTTGTTTATATTATATTTTATTTCAGTTAACATTTATTTCAAGTAACGAAAGATTTTTTATGGATTTAGTTTTAGTTAAGTATAATAACCCCGAAGCAAAGGGTATGTTTATGGCATACTATCATACTTCCTTACTATTCTGCAGTATGCACTATGTATACTGTGCTCATTATGCACATTTTTTTATTCATAGAATTACATGTGCCAAAGTGTGTAGAATACAACCAGAGCACACTGCATGAAAAACTCAATCCCACAATGCAGTGCACTATGCTGAATGAACCAGATGCATTACGGCAAGTTATAACAATTATTTCTAGATTAGTTTTATTGGGAAATGAAAAGTTACTTTTTACACAAATAGAAATAAAAATGCAACAACAACAAAAAATTGGCCAAGATAATGGACACTACTCACTGATATAAAATACAATGTAATGAGGCCAAGTGAAGTCATTGGTGCACTATTATTCTGTTCCAAACTTGTATTTGATTTGTATCAATTCAAAACACCTGTCTTTTCTTCGTCTTCTCTCGCAGAAATCATTTCTACCAGTACGGTGAGATCCGTACAATCACGTTGGTTCAGCGGCAGCAGTGTGCGTTCATTCAGTTCGCCACGCGACAGGGAGCAGAGCTCGCAGCAGAGAAGACCTTCAATAAGCTCATCATTAACGGCCGCAGGCTGGCGGTGAAGTGGGGCCGATCACAGGCCGCTAAAGGGACGGATGTCAAGGACGGGTTCGATGAGATGGGCACCGGACTAGAACCAGTACCTGGTCTCCCTACAAGTATGCTGTGTGTGTGTGTGGATTACTGGCATTACTGGATTACTGTATTAAATATGTCTTGTGTTTTTTATTTTATTTTATTTTTCAGTTTGGTTCAGTTTTGTTTAATTATTTTAATTAAACAAACAAAACAATGCCTGGGTTGTATTGCATGCCCAAAAATTATTAGAATTATTTTATTTTATGAACCAGACATTATTTTCATATGAATCACTCAATTATGATAATGAACAATATTAGCTTGCAAAAAAGTTATTTATTGAGAATATTATTATAATTAGATGCACTTTTGTCATATTGCTGTTACTTTGCATTGTGACTGACACCACCCCTTAAGCATGGTAAAATCACTGCAACAAGGTTTTGAAAGACAAGGCTATGTGATTATAGGTAACACTTTTTATGAAGCCTGTATTTATAACACATTATAAGTGTATTTTTAAGGCATTATAATGAATGCATAATGCATTATACATTTTTTTATAAAATGTTGTCTCGTCTAATAAATAATCATAACAAAAACTTACTTATTTGTGGTTATACATTTTATAAGTATGATTATTTATAACACGCAATGAACACCATTTTAAATCCACTTAATTTATAGTGGATTATAAGTCTCATATCTTGACATTATTTATGTCTTAAACCAGTCATAAGGGTCAATTTTTCAAAATTGAGATTTATACATAATCTGAAAGCTGAATAAATAAGCTTTAAACATTGATGTCTGATTTGTAAGGATAGGACAATATTTGAAAATCTGGAATCTGAGGGTGCAAAAAAATCAAAATATTGAGAAAATGAAGTTCTTAGCAATGCATATTACTAATCAAAAGTTAAGTTTTGATATATAATTACGGTAGGAAACTTACAAAATATCTTCATGGAACATGATCTTTACTTAATATCCTAATGATTTTTGGCATAAAAGAAAAATCTATAATTTTGACCCATACAATGTATTTTTGGCTACTGATACAAATATACCCCAGCGACTTAAGACTGGTTTTGTGGTCCAGGGTCACATTTAAGATCTGCATGGCATCTAACTATCTTACTGATATTATATTAAATATGGTTAAAAGCAAATGTGCCATATTACACATTCATCTGATCAGTCTTTGTCTGCTTTAAGTAAAGTAACAAGTTAACGATAGCAACATATGAGACTCATAATACATTATAACTATGGGAAATATAATCCATTGTAAGTTAAGTGGATGAATTGTGTTCACTGTGTATTATAAATTATCATACTCTTAAAAGCTATAACCACAAATAAGTAAATATTATAATGCATTAAAACTGTTGTTATGATTTATCATGAGATGACACAACATATTATACGGTTTTTTATAATACATTATGCAATAATTTTAATGCCTTAAGAATACCCTTGTAATGTATTATAAATACGGGCTTCATAGCAAGTGTTACCTGATTATATTATGTGTATATTACAGCTCTACCGCCACCCCCTGCTCTGGAGGAGGAAGCACCTGCTAACTACTTTAACCTGGACCCCAGCAGCTCTCCTGCGCTCATGAACATCAGTCTGCCACCTCCACCCGGACTCTCAAACCCACTGCCACCAGGTGCACCCTTCAGCTCAACTCACCCCTGCATGTCTCTAGTGTTTCAGCTGGTGGTTTTCACATCAAATAAAATGACTAAAACTGAAATAAAAATGAATTACAGCTAAATAGAAATATAAAAAAACTTAATAAAAATGACAAAAGCACATAATAAAATGACTAAAACTAAAATAAAAATATATTTCCATTTATTCAGTTATTAAAACTGAAATAAAAATAAAGCTAAATAGAAATGTTAAAATAAGTATGAAAAAAGCACATATAATTACTAAATCTCAATCTAAAAAATTAAATAAATGTATAATATTCATTTTAAATATATTATTAATTTTAAATGTATTAATATTACATATATTAATATTAAAAGAACTGAGGCTAAATAGACATATTAAAAAACTAATAAAAAGGTCAACAGCACATAATAAAATTATTAAAACTAAAATAAAACTGAAATAAAAAAAATCTGTTTATTACACTATATTAAATACTAAAATAAAAGCAAACTAAAGCTAAAAAAGAACTAATACAAATGACAAAAGCACTAATCCTAATAACTAAATGACAAATAACTAAAACCTAAACTAAAATTTGAAATAAAAAAATAAATAATTAGAAGCTCTTAAGTAATATATACAGTGGGGGAAAAAAGTATTTAGGCTGACTAAATACTTTTTTGCCCCACTGTATATATATATATATATATATACTGTCTGCTTGTGGTTTCAGGTTTTGGAGCTCCCATGTTCCACCCCATGGGCCCTCCTCCACCTCCTCCAATGGCTTTGAGACCTCCAGGCCACATCCATTATCCTTCCCAGGATCCTCAGCGCATGGGTGCGCATGCTGCCATCCGCCACAGCGAATGATTGACTCGTCATGTGAACTAGAGATTCTCTCACTGCTGTGGGTTATTGATCTATGAAGGTGAAGTCATCAGAGGGTGGAGTCTGATCTGTGACGTCATACAGAGTAATTGACTGGTACACTACGGTATGGTCATGTGATTGGGGTTACTATTGTAAGTGCAGTGCCACATTATACATTGTAAGTGGTATGCCTCAGTCACATCTTATATACAGACACAGCTTACCAACAAATAGGCCCTTGTTGCCTCCTCGTTATCATAAGCTGCCTTGTTTAAAACATCATCATGCTAAATCTGTGGGCTTTTTGTTGAGACAATACATCTCACGCTAACTTGAGTTTACATTGAAAACGAAGCGCCATTAAGGACTTTTTGCAGTTTGACATGAAAAATTTAACACATTTTCCCCCAAATTGTAATTACAGTTGTGCAGAAAAATCATTTATTTCTCATTAAATTAAGCATAATGAGTTAGTTGTTGCATTACGGTAGATTGCTGACAATTTGGGGGGATAATTAATTCTTAATTCGTGCAAATGTTTATGGTGCTAAAATAGGCTTCATTTTCTTTTTGTGAAAAAAATAGCTTAATTTGAATTGTTGTTGTACAGTTTTTGTGAGATTCACCCACCCACACCATTCACTCTTACATCTAGAGATTTAACATACTTAAATATAGTGTCTATTAAAAGGATGCAACTATATTCAAAAATGTTTTTTTTTTAAATTAGAGATATTTGCGTAGCCACTGTCTCGTCTCTTTAAAGTAAAAAAATATATATATTTTTTCCATGCCATTTTCTGATATTTCTCTGTTTTTCATTGTGCTCTGAAGCAGTTTTTAATGAACTGTCAGTTCAGTGCTTTTCTGTTGTAACATGAAAAAAGGAATTCAAAAACAACAAGTACTTTTTATTGAAAGAGCCTACCGTTACCATTTTCTTTTGTGAGCATTAAACTAGCCATCATTAAATGTACCGTGTGCTCTGGTTTTAAGAAACACAGCGGCCCAGACAGTATTTGGACACTTTTGCATTTTATACAAAATATCAAAGCAGGTGCCATTTATTTTAAGAAAGATACACAAACACATTTGACAAGAACATTTGACAAAAAGAGTTCTGTGTGAAAACAATAGATATTTGATATTTAGTCATCTAATGCAATATCAAACGCACATTTTCCATATGCCTAAAGTGTCTAAATACATTTTAGGGGCCCCTGCTGCACACTTTGAAACACTATCGTGAACACCATTTATTTGCATATTACATGTCTACAATTATGAAATGCCAGAGGTTTTTTTTTTTGTCATTTTTTGTGTTCTCTTTTTTTATTACTATTATTTTATACTATTTTATGTTTAATTGATTTTTACTTCAGTTTTAGTTCAATTTTAGCTTTTATTTACAGTTAGTCATTTTATTGCTTCAACTTAAACACATTTTTATTATTGTTTTTTTTATATTACTATTTAGGTTTAATTTAAGTTTTAGTTAAATTTCAGGTTTTATTTACAATTAGTAATTGTTTTATTACAATTAGTAATTTTAATGCTTCAACTTCAACTTATTTCAGTTTGTTTCCAAGGTAACATTTCTAATTTTAATTTAGGTTTTTCGTATAATATTTATATTGAATTTTTTTCCAGCTTTAATTGGTTAACAATAATAACCTCAATTCAGTGAGTTCTACCAGTAACTTTCAGTTTCAAGAAACTGCATGTAATTTTGTTCAGTTTCAAAACTACAAGTCACTTAATGGACCCAGTCATTCAAACTCAAAATATTCTTGCTTCTGGATTTGACTCCACATGGTGACGCAATTTTAGTTTGTATCTCAGTAATTTGATCTTCTGTATACGCAGTGTGTCTTGAGGCTCTGAAATTCGTGACAGGAGAAGTCGGCGGTGCGTTTAAATAGTTTCTCAGTCATTCACTCCTCTGTGGATCCCGTTTCAAATGGGAAGACGCAATGGAAACATTGCAGCTCTCTTAAGTGGACTTCATAATTTGATAGTGTGGATTAGTCTTGATGGGTCTATTTAAGGCACACCATCAGCACGCATCAAACTAATGTGCCAAAACCTCTTGGTATCCTCAAGGCTGTTTCTCATATCGTGTTTTGCCTCAGTTTTCTGGTACCGCAGAGAATAAAGATTTAATCCCTCCCAAATAAAGAAACTGTAACGGGGGAATCCCAAACCAACTCGGATGGCCCAACCCTACATGGGCCGCAGTATATTGTGATGCATCGATGAACCGTTTGATGCAACTCTTTCTTTTTCGTTTCAGCAGTCCAAATGAAGGTTTTTAATCAGAATGTTCCTGGAACATCTTTGTTGGTCATTGACAACATTCATATAATCTTATTATATTTTAAGGTTATGTTTAGTGTTAGGGCTATGAAAAAAAATTAACCTCTAATTTCCATTTCATTTTAGGGGTAGTTAATAATCTGTTCATTGACCATCTCGTGTGTACTATGTACAAAACAGAAACAGAACTGAGTGAAAAAAATTACCCATCACAATCTCTTTACATGTATTAATTTAGAAGACGGTTAGCTGGAGCTATGCAGCTTTTTCTGCAGTCTTTTGCACCAGTTCACCTAAAAACCAAGGTAACAAATAAGCGCTTTTAAAGAAGAACTCATCATTTGCAAGTCATTTGTATTTGCCATGCTTTAAAGGTCATGGTGTTCTTTTGAAGGAAACATTGATAATCATGAGAAATGTTTCATGTAATACTGAAGACTGATGTAAAGATGCCGGTTCATTACAAAATTCAGGTTGGATTATAGTATTGTACAATATTACTGTTTTTACTGTATTTTTTCATCAAATAATTGCAGTCTCCACTGTTCCAGCTTTAATTGGTTAACAATAATAACCTCAATTCAGTGAGTTCTACCAGTAACTTTCAGTTTCAAGAAACTGCATGTAATTTTGTTCAGTTTCAAAACTACAAGTCACTTAATGGACCCAGTCATTCAAACTCAAAATATTCTTGCTTCTGGATTTGACTCCACATGGTGACGCAATTTTAGTTTGTATCTCAGTAATTTGATCTTCTGTATACGCAGTGTGTCTTGAGGCTCTGAAATTCGTGACAGGAGAAGTCGGCGGTGCGTTTAAATAGTTTCTCAGTCATTCACTCCTCTGTGGATCCCGTTTCAAATGGGAAGACGCAATGGAAACATTGCAGCTCTCTTAAGTGGACTTCATAATTTGATAGTGTGGATTAGTCTTGATGGGTCTATTTAAGGCACACCATCAGCACGCATCAAACTAATGTGCCAAAACCTCTTGGTATCCTCAAGGCTGTTTCTCATATCGTGTTTTGCCTCAGTTTTCTGGTACCGCAGAGAATAAAGATTTAATCCCTCCCAAATAAAGAAACTGTAACGGGGGAATCCCAAACCAACTCGGATGGCCCAACCCTACATGGGCCGCAGTATATTGTGATGCATCGATGAACCGTTTGATGCAACTCTTTCTTTTTCGTTTCAGCAGTCCAAATGAAGGTTTTTAATCAGAATGTTCCTGGAACATCTTTGTTGGTCATTGACAACATTCATATAATCTTATTATATTTTAAGGTTATGTTTAGTGTTAGGGCTATGAAAAAAAATTAACCTCTAATTTCCATTTCATTTTAGGGGTAGTTAATAATCTGTTCATTGACCATCTCGTGTGTACTATGTATAAAACAGGAACTGAGTGAAAAAAATTACCCATCACAATCTCTTTACATGTATTAATTTAGAAGACGGTTAGCTGGAGCTATGCAGCTTTTTCTGCAGTCTTTTGCACCAGTTCACCTAAAAACCAAGGTAACAAATAAGCGCTTTTAAAGAAGAACTCATCATTTGCAAGTCATTTGTATTTGCCATGCTTTAAAGGTCATGGTGTTCTTTTGAAGGAAACATTGATAATCATGAGAAATGTTTCATGTAATACTGAAGACTGATGTAAAGATGCCGGTTCATTACAAAATTCAGGTTGGATTATAGTATTGTACAATATTACTGTTTTTACTGTATTTTTTCATCAAATAATTGCAGTCTCCACTGTAAAAAAAAAAAAGTATTTGGTGGCTTTGTAAATATCACAATAGTATATAAATATACAACCTTAATAAAGTATCTGAATAACACTTAAGTAAATTTTTGAGTTGGACAAACCAAAAACAAATGCCCAAAACCCCAACGGTTAATTTTAACAATAATTTTTTTCACAAAAGGAAACTATACAATAGTGTTGAAATCCATGTTATGAGCTGAAATACAGAGTTCTGTCATGAAACTCTAGACGGCGCAGTCTGATAGGTCTAGCTCAATCTGACCTGGTGACATCATTTTCACGTGGCAGCTGATTGGTTCTCTCCTGTATCGTAGCCAATGAGCTCGCTGCTCAATATTCAAATATCTGGCTTTTGTTTGCTGTAGCAGTTGGCAGCGCACTTCAGAAACCCTTTACCTTCCCCAGCTCCACTTGTATAGATCTGCTACGAGGTGATTCATGTATGCTATATGGGGGTTATTTCATGTATGTTATATTTGCAGCAGCAGTATTTCTTACATGCTCACAGCAGCATGTTGTGGATGTATTGGCAGTAGCAAGTCTCGGTACTTGCTCTGCCGCAACAGCAGCGTAGCAGATCTATTCCGCCAAGACCAAATACATTAACATTGTCATGTACATTACCATGCCAATCCCTCCGAGAGTTGTCATGACAGAACTATATATTTCACAGAATTATGTCTGAAATAGTATTTGTTACTTGTTGTTTGACTGAAATTGAGTTTTTGCGGTGTACAAACGTGACTTTATTTCAATTTGTATTTTATTGTAGTATAATCAAAGACTTTAGATATACCAATGTCATCATATTACTTATGAATGGGAGAAAGTGCATCGAGCAATATGGCGGAGTAAGTCCCGCCTTCTAAATAAAAGAACCAATCACCAAATGGTAAAGTCATCGCGTCACTGCAGCTGGTGTCAGAGCCGTTGAGGGAAAAAAAAGGTTAATGTCAGATTTTGTTTCTGAGTTGAAATATGGAATTTAAGTTG